TATAAAAAAATCTTTCGGTGTATCAATTTTTAAATTTCTATGTTGTCGAAGTATCAAATTTATTAGCTGTTAAATTGTTAAAATGCGACATCGTCAAATTATGAGACTGTCAGATTGTTATATGGTAACGTTCTTAAATTATCAGACTTTTACATTGTTCAATTGTAACATTATTAAATCATCAGACTGTTATATTGTTCAATTGTAACACTGCCAAAATATCATACTATCACATTTGTAAACCCTACATTGCTTAATTTTTAAATTTCTCAAAGTCTCAAATCCAGAAACACCCTATAAACATCTAATTTTCTAATTCTTCAAGATTTCACAATTCCAAACTTCTCAAACCTCCAAATTCCTTAAACCTTGAGGTCAAATAGCAAATTTCGAAATGTCCCAAATCCTCAAACTCCTGAATCCCTAAATTTCTTAAACTCTCAAACCTCCAAATTCCTCAAACCTTGAGGTCAAATAGCAAATTTCGAAATGTCCCTAATCCTCAAACTCCTAAATCCCTAAATTTCTTAAACTCTCAAACCTCCAAATTCCTCAAACCTTGAGGTCAAATAGCAAATTTCGAAATGTCCCTAATCCTCAAACTCCTAAATCCCTAAATTTCTTAAACTCTCAAACCTCCAAATTCCTCAAACCTTGAGGTCAAATAGCAAATTTCGAAATGTCCCTAATCCTCAAACTCCTAAATCCCTAAATTTCTTAAACTCTCAAACCTCCAAATTCCTCAAACCTTGAGGTCAAATAGCAAATTTCGAAATGTCCCTAATCCTCAAACTCCTAAATCCCTAAATTTCTTAAACTCTCAAACCTCCAAATTCCTCAAACCTTGAGGTCAAATAGCAAATTTCGAAATGTCCCAAATCCTCAAACTCCTGAATCCCTAAATTTCTTAAACTCTCAAACCTCCAAATTCCTCAAACCTTGAGGTCAAATAGCAAATTTCGAAATGTCCCAAATCCTCAAACTCCTGAATCCCTAAATTTCTTAAACTCTCAAACCTCCAAATACCCAAACTGCCAACTTCTCTTCTAAATCTGTGTGCGAAGTAACACAATAACATTCCACTTTCTTAACTTGTGAGTGCCCCCAAGTGCCCTGAACTACCCCCAAGTGCCCGGTGAGCACTCACAGTTCCTCGCTTGTCCATCACGTCGTTAAAACGTCGACGTGGACTTCAGAAATATAAATTTCCCAATACATCCAAATTATACATCTCATAAAGTATTCCCGGCCGGTTTCTCGAAGGCAGAAAGTATTTCGCATAATATCTCCTCCGGTTCGGAGGAGAAAGAAGAGCAGAAAGAAGCTGGCACCCGAGGAAAAAGGATAAATAGCAGAGTTCGGGGAGGAATGCTCCGATACGCTGATACGGAACGAAAGAAAAAAACGAAACAATATTTCAATATGCTAAAATTATCGAACGTTTCCTAAGGCTGTACTTGCGCTAAGTAAAGCCTCCACTCTCGGCTCTTCTCGCGTCGGCGAGCAACGAGGATGACTGTTAACGTGCCGCAAGGATCCTATTGATCCGGAATACGATTTCGCCAGGATATAGTCCTCACCGATAATGGAAAATATTAATATTTTCAGTCCTTGATAAATCGGTTTCATTTACCGAAAATCCCTAAATTTCTTAAACTCTCAAACCTCCAAATACCCAAACTGCCAACTTCTCTTCTAAATCTGTGTGCGAAGTAACACAATAACATTCCACTTTCTTAACTTGTGAGTGCCCCCAAGTGCCCTGAACTACCCCCAAGTGCCCGGTGAGCACTCACAGTTCCTCGCTTGTCCATCACGTCGTTAAAACGTCGACGTGGACTTCAGAAATATAAATTTCCCAATACATCCAAATTATACATCTCATAAAGTATTCCCGGCCGGTTTCTCGAAGGCAGAAAGTATTTCGCATAATATCTCCTCCGGTTCGGAGGAGAAAGAAGAGCAGAAAGAAGCTGGCACCCGAGGAAAAAGGATAAATAGCAGAGTTCGGGGAGGAATGCTCCGATACGCTGATACGGAACGAAAGAAAAAAACGAAACAATATTTCAATATGCTAAAATTATCGAACGTTTCCTAAGGCTGTACTTGCGCTAAGTAAAGCCTCCACTCTCGGCTCTTCTCGCGTCGGCGAGCAACGAGGATGACTGTTAACGTGCCGCAAGGATCCTATTGATCCGGAATACGATTTCGCCAGGATATAGTCCTCACCGATAATGGAAAATATTAATATTTTCAGTCCTTGATAAATCGGTTTCATTTACCGATATCGTTTACTGATTTTAATGCGGACTCCTCGCTTCGACCAGATGGATTGCAAAATGGAGTTCGAACTTAGTTTAATGGAATAATTTATGGAATCACCGAGCCAGAAGATTGCGGATAAAAGGCAATATAAACTGAAAAATTCTTATTGTGTTGGAGAATTTCGTGTGCTTTCACTTGTGGTAGTTTCATTGTGGTTTTATACATTTACATCCTTCGAAAATGTGGATTGTACTAATTTTTCCATTTTTTATGTTCATTCAAGTCGCTGGATTTATTTAACATTATTCAGCTGTATTTGATAGTTATTTCACATTAGAAAAACATTATACACTTAAACGATTAAAGACATGACCAAAGAAGAATTGTTTTTAAAATGGCGTCTTTTAATTTTCTTATTCTATCCTAAAAATATGATACCCTACATTCACATGCAACTTTTACGAACGTTTCTAAGGGTAGACACCTGTCTAAAATTGCAGTAACATAACATCCTATCAAAGACAGCGATAATCCCAAATAAATTGCCTCGAATTCCACATTGTTAGAATGTGGACAAGTGTCATGTATGCTGTTCGTTATCGAGCAAACGTTAAAAAATGAGGACACAGGATGGAAAACGATTTCGGCAGAGGCTCTTCCACGAATAATACAATAATTCTTCCGTTAGTGACAGCGGAAGTAGCCATGGACGTTCCGGTGTAACACGATGCAACGTGGAGCAGAACAGAACGGGCCGGGCCAAAAAGGAAGCGCGCCGCGTCATATCGAGATATCGAAATGGAACGTTACATCGGGACCGGTTCTATTTTCCCGGTCGCGTAAACCAACGGGACATATTCCTTTCTCGTGGCGTGATAGCTACCGGGTCCAGTCGATATCGTCAGTCTTCGGGGAGATAGCGAAATCGGATTTGCTGGACATGCCCGTCGAACCGTAAAATCGAGTCGTATATTTCGGAATTTTTCGTTGAACACGCGGCGAGCCAGCACCCCTTTCACCCTTTTCTTCTTCACGCTCTTCCGTTTCCTCTATTCTTAGATGGAATAATTTACTGTCGCTCAGCTAATCTTCCTCCGACAACTTTACGTTCTACGATACGTGTTTTACGCTCACGACTTTCGTCGCTGAATCTTGCAAGTAAATTCTTGCTGGAATTTCAGAATCAGGAAGTGCAGAATTTATGAGAAAGTCTTCGATAGCTATTTTATTGCTTTTGCATGCAATGAATTATTTTCATCAGCAAGGTCTTCTGCTAAGTTCATTCAGTTCTCTTAATTTGGCAAATAGGTTCAGCTCTAATTTGCATGAATTGTCTTACAATTAATCTTTGACTTATAATGTCGTATCACATACATGACGTAAACTACAGTTCCGATTTGACAAACCGGACTCGTATTTTTATTTTGTTTATTTGTTTTAAAATTATAGTCATTGCTAGTTAGCTATGAATATCACAACGTGTCTCACATTAGAAACATTAGAAGCTCCATAAAGTATGTACCCTGCAAAAATCATTTCCTTACTAAATAATCGCTTTGATCCTTTTGCTTTAAACTTCGTATAAAATAAACCGCTGGAAATCTCAAAGAAGGCCATTCGAAATGGAACGAATGCTCTTACCCGTCATTGGAGGGACCTAAAGGCGCAGCCGTTTTACACGAGTCGATCGGTAAAATCTTTTTTTTTCAAAGTTGCACGAGTCTTTGACGGGTGCCGCTTCAGTCGGCGAGTTCTCGTCCAACAAGCAACCAGAAGCGGGGAAAAGTAAGCAACTGCGAAAGTTGAGGGCTAGACGCGCTACGAAGCTGTGAGAGTCTGCCGAACGATTCGATCGACGCTTCGGAACTTGAAGATATCGCTGGAAGCGCAGCCTAAAGGAAGAGGAGAGAGGCATTTTAACTCGAGCATCAGCCAGTAGATTCGGGTCAGCTTGAAAGCAACGGCACGATATAAACGATGGCTCTTCAGATGCAAGTGGAGGAAGAAACCCCGTGCAAGGATGGATATCCTGCAGAGAGCGAAGCTTGACGTTCTGTTTGCTTGGCCTGGGGGTGACTGTTTCCTTCGTAGATAGCCACCCCCTTCTCACCCTTGGGACCCATCGAGACGTATGTTTTGCTGGAATAGGGACAACCTTGGATCCGATAGCTCAAGGAGTGATATTGATTTCGTGGAGATACAGGTGCTCGACATGTTGCCTCATGACAAACATGGATATGTGTTACTCTAACTCAACATTTCATTCTTTAATCACAGAACTCATTGTTAAAGAAGAATTGTTAGAGGACAACTAGGGAACAATTGTTAGATACTAGAGCCTTTGTTCCTTAATTCTAGACAATTATACAGTGTCTCGGGTAATATGAAAAATTTAAATCGAATTTTGTATCTAACTTTACCTACTTCATTTCTAATAATAAAGATACACCTTGAATATATTGTTAAGCGAGGATATTCAACGTATGCGATGGAGATGTGATTTCCTCTCGAATGTGTACATATGTATATCTTAATGCACGATGCTCAGTACGATCATGTTGCCTTTAGCAATCAGCCATTTTGATTTCACGTTTATCCGATATTGTTTGTTCTCGCTGCAAACCAACAACCGTATACGCTTCCAGTAAGTTGTTGGCCACGATGAGTTTTGAAACATTGTAATAGGATTCCCGAGTACGACTCGTGTAGCATAAAGGACTTACGCGGCTACTCACCTGACGTGGAAACAGGGATGAAAAGCTGCTGGATTATCCTGCGGCGAGAACTTCGGTAGAGCGCCATGAAGAAGGGCGAGTCGCACAACCAGCAGCACGCCAAACTATAAATAAAAGAGAATCCTTTAATAAAGAGGGACCCTTTAATTGCGACGGTCACGTATTTACGCGGAAATTTTTCTCGTTGGCCGCCGTCCAAACGTGGCTTCGAGCGAGCACGGTTTAATCGTACAAAGGGAAAACATATCTGTGTATTTGGTTATTTATTCGGACGTGTGTACTTTTGGGTGCTACGTAGGGTAAATTCAGATGACGTGTTTAAGAAGAGGAGTGAAGGTTTAGAGTCACGTATACTATGTGATGAGAGCGGTACAATTGAAATCGCATGTGTGTTTCAATATTCTAAAATTTGTATTTTGCTGTTTAGAGATATTGTCAAGGTTCAGAATTATAAACTCTACATTTACGAATATTATGATACTAAATTCCGTATCTCCAAATCCCATGTTCAAGAATTCTCACATCCCCAAATCCTATATGTAAGAATTTTCACATGGCCAAATCCCACATGCAAGAATTCTCACAACCCCAAATTCCACATGCAAGAATTTTCACATGTCCAAGTCCCACATGCAAGAATTCTCACATGTAAGAACTGTCACATCTCCAAATCCCATATGCAAGAATTATCACATGTCCAAATCCCACATGCAAGAATTCTCACATGTCCAAATCCCACATACAAGAATTCTCACATGTAAGAACTGTCACATCTCCAAATCCCATATGCAAGAATTATCACATGTCCAAATCCCACATGCAAGAATCCTCACATGTCCAAATCCCACATACAAGAATTCTCACAACCCCAAATCCCACATGCAAGAATTTTCACATGTCCAAATCCCACATGCAAGAATCCTCACATGTTCAAATCCCACATGCAATAATTCTCACATCCCCAAATTCCACATTTCTAATCTCACATGAACCCTCCAACCTCCCCCCACAAGAGGAATGATTTTATTTTGGCGAAATGAGAGCACATTTAAAAAATGCAACTACTTAACGCGTTGAAGCAGAGAAACCCAGCAACTTCGCTTTTCTTTTATTTACACTATTCGCTGTATTATCAACTTGACCCAGGTTAAACCTTCCACCGGGGGCTTCTCTAGTATTTTCTAAAACACGAACTTCCTATCTGCCGTTTACACGGCTCGAAAGATGAATGGGAATAAAACAAAAGAGAATCCAGATTGCGGAAGAGCCTCTTACTAGCTTTTTCTGGAGGAGGCTCTCGACTTGTGGCTCAATGACTCGCTACACTGCTAGAAGCATTGGAAGCTTTCATTAGCCGGCTCGGGAAACGGAAAACAAGAAACGAGGCTGCGAGCTAAAAATTTCACGCGGGAATAAACCACGGTACTGCGTTCCTCTACCGCCTTCATTTTCTAATTTATATTATTCATTTATCAATTTCGGTTAATTTACACACCTGGAATTTACAAATCGCCCAGGGATATTAAATCGACTTTAAATTAATTTCGACTTTCAGTACAATGTTTAACAATTGGTTAGGTATAATTAACTTTTATATTCTATGGAATTGATATTTTGTATTTTGTGGAGGAAATTACTGAAAATTATATATTTTGTAATTATGTCGTTTGAAACAGTAATTTATTGCAGAAGCAGAGATCCACATATGTGATTAGCTAAAAAGAAAATGCACACACGTGACAATGTCCTTGACGACACTACGACACATCTCAAACATAACCTCCAATTTTATTCGTAAATACGATAAGTACATATTGAAACTCTCTACTCAAAATTATAACCAGCTTCATCACCAGTCTGTGAATGTTTGCGTACACATACGTTGATATTCATTGCTGCACGGTGTAAGTCCACATATTGGCTTGTAAAATACAAATAAACCATATAATCTATGAAATGAACAAGCTACAGATTACATAATTCGTTGACTCCGTAAACTTCGATATGCAACAAACGAATAAACATGCGCAGTTTGCGCACAGAATGATGAAGCTAATAACGAAAATTCCACCGAAGTAACCTAGAAACTTTGTAGACATCAAATCGTAGAATCGTTAGGAGCGTCAAATTCCTAAACCCCGTTCGAAAGATGGCTCTTCACGCCTTTCCTCCATGGAACCATCAACCCCTTTCTCTCGATGCCGTTGTCAGGATCCCCCTATGTTCTTGCCAACGGACGTACAAAGGACGAGTGGTATCTAGAAGGGTCCTGCAGTTGGACAATATATGCCAATCCTAGGTATTCATATCTTCCTCGATCGAACCGGAACATGGAACCCTCTTCCGAACGCCATGCTCGATACACGTGTCGTCTCGACGTCTCTTTACGACGTCCTTCTCATTCCCAGGCTCCATAAGCCACGTCTTCGTGTTTTGACGTACTACACGACTGTATTGCTATTATTGCACCACTCTCTATTTTACGTTGTTCTAGAAAGAGAAGTATTCGACCTACATCTTGCGCTTTGAGGACTGCTTCGACTATTAACCCGGTATTGAGGGTGCGAATGGAAGTGACATGCTTCAAGTTCATGAAATGGGGATTTCAAAGGAACTTCTGGATATATCTTGTTGTGGGGAGGATCTAGGGAACTTAGGTAGAACTAGAAATTTACAAATTTCTATAAGACTGAAGTTTGTAATTAGTAGGCTTTACAGATTCAGAAATGTTGAAATTTTTAAATTTTTAAGTGGCAGGGTTTGTAATTCATCAAGAACATAAATACTCAATTCTGGAATTCTCAAACTTCTGAATTCTCAAATTTTCAAACTTCCAATTTCTCAAATTCCAAATCCCTCAAGTTCCACATCTCTCAAGCTCCAAAGCTCTCAAGTTCCAAATCTCTCAAGTCCCAAATCTCTCAAGTCCCAAATCTCCCAAGTCCCAAAACACCCAAATCCCAAATCTCCCAAATCCCAAATCTCCCAAATCCCAAATCTCCCAAATCCCAAATCTCCCAAATCCCAAATCTCCCAAATCCCAAATCTCCCAAATCCCAAATCTCCCAAATCCCAAATCTCCCAAATCCCAAATCTCCCAAATCCCAAATCTCCCAAATCCCAAATCTCCCAAATCCCAAATCTCCCAAATCCCAAATCTCCCAAATCCCAAATCTCCCAAATCCCAAATCTCCCAAATCCCAAATCTCCCAAATCCCAAATCTCCCAAATCCCAAATCTCCCAAATCCCAAATCTCCCAAATCCCAAATCTCCCAAATCCCAAATCTCCCAAATCCCAAATCTCCCAAATCCCAAATCTCCCAAATCCCAAATCTCCCAAATCCCAAATCTCCCAAATCCCAAATCTCCCAAATCCCAAATCTCCCAAATCCCAAATCTCCCAAATCCCAAATCTCCCAAATCCCAAATCTCCCAAATCCCAAATCTCCCAAATCCCAAATCTCCCAAATCCCAAATCTCCCAAATCCCAAATCTCCCAAATCCCAAATCTCCCAAATCCCAAATCTCCCAAATCCCAAATCTCCCAAATCCCAAATCTCCCAAATCCCAAATCTCCCAAATCCCAAATCTCCCAAATCCCAAATCTCCCAAATCCCAAATCTCCCAAATCCCAAATCTCCCAAATCCCAAATCTCCCAAATCCCAAATCTCCCAAATCCCAAATCTCCCAAATCCCAAATCTCCCAAATCCCAAATCTCCCAAATCCCAAATCTCCCAAATCCCAAATCTCCCAAATCCCAAATCTCCCAAATCCCAAATCTCCCAAATCCCAAATCTCCCAAATCCCAAATCTCCCAAATCCCAAATCTCCCAAATCCCAAATCTCCCAAATCCCAAATCTCCCAAATCCCAAATCTCCCAAATCCCAAATCTCCCAAATCCCAAATCTCCCAAATCCCAAATCTCCCAAATCCCAAATCTCCCAAATCCCAAATCTCCCAAATCCCAAATCTCCCAAATCCCAAATCTCCCAAATCCCAAATCTCCCAAATCCCAAATCTCCCAAATCCCAAATCTCCCAAATCCCAAATCTCCCAAATCCCAAATCTCCCAAATCCCAAATCTCCCAAATCCCAAATCTCCCAAATCCCAAATCTCCCAAATCCCAAATCTCCCAAATCCCAAATCTCCCAAATCCCAAATCTCCCAAATCCCAAATCTCCCAAATCCCAAATCTCCCAAATCCCAAATCTCCCAAATCCCAAATCTCCCAAATCCCAAATCTCCCAAATCCCAAATCTCCCAAATCCCAAATCTCCCAAATCCCAAATCTCCCAAATCCCAAATCTCCCAAATCCCAAATCTCCCAAATCCCAAATCTCCCAAATCCCAAATCTCCCAAATCCCAAATCTCCCAAATCCCAAATCTCCCAAATCCCAAATCTCCCAAATCCCAAATCTCCCAAATCCCAAATCTCCCAAATCCCAAATCTCCCAAATCCCAAATCTCCCAAATCCCAAATCTCCCAAATCCCAAATCTCCCAAATCCCAAATCTCCCAAATCCCAAATCTCCCAAATCCCAAATCTCCCAAATCCCAAATCTCCCAAATCCCAAATCTCCCAAATCCCAAATCTCCCAAATCCCAAATCTCCCAAATCCCAAATCTCCCAAATCCCAAATCTCCCAAATCCCAAATCTCCCAAATCCCAAATCTCCCAAATCCCAAATCTCCCAAATCCCAAATCTCCCAAATCCCAAATCTCCCAAATCCCAAATCTCCCAAATCCCAAATCTCCCAAATCCCAAATCTCCCAAATCCCAAATCTCCCAAATCCCAAATCTCCCAAATCCCAAATCTCCCAAATCCCAAATCTCCCAAATCCCAAATCTCCCAAATCCCAAATCTCCCAAATCCCAAATCTCCCAAATCCCAAATCTCCCAAATCCCAAATCTCCCAAATCCCCCAAATTCCCCAAATTCCCAAATCCGTGAAAATTTCAACGTAACCAAAATCCAACTTGTAACACTACCCAAACCGGTTATTGAGCATTTGATCGCGCAATCAGTTGATCAAACGCTCGCATCGAAGTGCTAACTAGTAGGATAGAATTATAATTACGCCGTAGGTCTTAAGATA